TTAACTAAATTTCCATTAAAAGTCCACAAACATTTATTTGCCTACTTTCTAGCTCTAAGCGTGGAATAGTTTTTATAGTTCCAAATAAAAAGCTTTTGTAATTATATGTCATCAAATAGTAGGTCCTGGAGTGCGATTACCGTTCGCCTSTGCAACATGCCACATGCTGCTTGTTGGGTATCAACTGCTTCGTCCCTCTGCAATCATATAAATTTGATTCAAGCCCCCAGCGATTTGCATGAGTCACAGGACACACAGACACAATGTACAATACACACATACACACTACACAGACGCACACACATACACACAGAAAGGCACACCCACCAACACAGTTGGGTCAATTATAAAATGACGCTGCGGCTTGTGCTTTATTTATGGGCCAATTGCCGGGCTCGCATAACGTAACGTTTGCCAAGAACTAACCCCATTCCTTTGGATACTTCTTCCACTCCAGTTAACCGCAACCTAAGACAAGCCAAGCAGCCAAGATGTCGTCGGTTAAGGTGGCGGTGCGAGTGCGCCCGTTCAACTCGCGAGAGATCGCACGGGAGTCCAAGTGCATCATTGAGATGAGTGGGGCTACAACGGGTAAGGCAGCTAGGGTAGAATTAAGAGATAAATCGAATCATAAACCTATCCTATACTTTTCTTACAGCCATTACCAATCCGAAGGTGCCACCAAACACGAGCGAGTCCGTCAAGCGCTTCAACTTTGACTACTCCTACTGGTCGCATGATGTAAGACTCGCCATAGGCTTTCCTCGATTACGCATAAATAATCTCACTCCATTTCTAGCCACGCGATGCGGATTTCTCCACACAAGCGATGGTCTACAAGGACATTGGAGAGGAGATGCTGCAGCATTCCTTTGACGGCTATAATGTCTGCATCTTTGCCTACGGACAGACAGGTGCTGGTAAATCCTACACCATGATGGGTCGGCAGGAGGAGCAGCAGGAGGGCATTATACCAATGATATGCAAGGATCTCTTCGGTCGCATCCAGGAGACCGAAACCGATGACCTCAAATATTCCGTAGAGGTCTCCTACATGGAAATCTATTGCGAGCGCGTGCGGGACTTGCTAAACCCGAAAAACAAAGGCAATTTGCGTGTTCGAGAGCATCCGCTGTTGGGTCCCTATGTGGAGGACCTGTCCAAGTTGGCTGTCACCGACTACCAGGACATACACGATCTCATCGATGAGGGCAACAAGGCGCGGTAGGTGTTRACGAATGGGAYTGCTTAGCCAGTTTGCCTTATTGGTTCTCTGTTCAATCCTTAGCACTGTGGCCGCTACCAACATGAACGAGACGAGCTCCCGCTCGCATGCAGTGTTTACCATTTTCTTTACACAGCGTCGCCATGACACCATGACCGACTTGGTCACKGARAAAGTCTCCAAGATAAGTTTGGTGGACTTGGCTGGCTCGGAGCGTGCTGATTCCACAGGTGCTAAGGGCACTCGCTTGAAGGAGGGCGCCAACATCAACAAGTCCTTGACAACCCTAGGCAAAGTCATATCCGCATTGGCGGAGGTGGTAAGCATTCTGATTTTCATCTCTTTAAGGGAAATTTTNTGTTGGGTCCCTATGTGGAGGACCTGTCCAAGTTGGCTGTCACCGACTACCAGGACATACACGATCTCATCGATGAGGGCAACAAGGCGCGGTAGGTGTTGACGAATGGGATTGCTTAGCCAGTTTGCCTTATTGGTTCTCTGTTCAATCCTTAGCACTGTGGCCGCTACCAACATGAACGAGACGAGCTCCCGCTCGCATGCAGTGTTTACCATTTTCTTTACACAGCGTCGCCATGACACCATGACCGACTTGGTCACKGARAAAGTCTCCAAGATAAGTTTGGTGGACTTGGCTGGCTCGGAGCGTGCTGATTCCACAGGTGCTAAGGGCACYCGCTTGAAGGAGGGCGCCAACATCAACAAGTCCTTGACAACYCTAGGCAAAGTCATATCCGCATTGGCGGAGGTGGTAAGCATTCTGATTTKCATCTCTTTAAGGGAAATTTTCTAATTGCTTGTATTTTCCCTTGCCTTGTTCAATGGACAGTCTGTAAGTATTTGAGTAAGCKYTTACTMTTGAACTGCTCTAATTGTTACTTAAATTAGGTATCCAAGAAAAAGAACTCGAAGAAGGCAGACTTCATACCTTATCGCGACTCAGCTCTGACCTGGTTGCTGCGCGAGAATCTGGGCGGCAACTCTAAGACAGCCATGATAGCTGCCATATCGCCAGCCGATATTAACTACGATGAAACTTTGAGCACCCTACGGTAGGTTTTACTGTACCCAAGCTGTACTTGTAATGCATGYMATGAAYTCCTTCAGCTATGCGGATCGTGCCAAGCAAATYGTTTGCAAGGCTGTCGTCAATGAGGATGCCAATGCCAAACTTATACGCGAGCTCAAGGAGGAGATTCARAAGTTGCGCGATCTGCTCAAGGCCGAGGGCATTGAGGTGCAAGAGGGTAAGTGGATGTTGATATATATATTATATTTCTCTACCCTTACTAAGCCTAAACGTAAGCCAAAGAAGAAACTGAACACTTGAAAACAAAACACA